TTTTTTTCTTTGGAGGATGCGCGAAACTTTGCACAAAAATGCATTACAAAAGAAATAAGAAATTTATCTCCAGGTTTAGGGTAGAAGGTCATGAACTGGGAAAGAAAGATGGGTGAGGAGTGAAAACAGAAATAAGAGAAGTGTAAGAACTACACTGGGCCTAGTGAAAGATCAGCTAAGAGAATGAAGAGGTGAAGCATCAATAAATGAAAATGAAAGAGAAAACATAATAGACAACAGACCTCCAAGGTAAGAGTAAACAAGTTGTGTACATTGTCAGGCAGCAGCTATTTATTGGGAACTCTGAGAATATCAGTACTAGCTTTTGTCACAAGGACAGCTGTAACTTTCTCCAGAAAGGACAAAACATCAGATGAAGTGTACAGGCTTCGCATGGATACTGCTGGAGCAGCTGTTACAGGAGGCTCTATCGTCATTGGGGGGGCTGGCAGAATTATCAATTGCTTCCTGGAAAAAGATACTATTTATTTCTGATGGTGTGGAAAGACAAAGCAAGAAAGCAATTTTGACTTCTGCATGACTTGTGTATAATTGCAAAGGCCCAAGGTCACGCAAACAACCATAATATAACATAATATACAATAAACAAACATAATATGACACCACCACCTGTAGATTCTGCTTTATAGCCTTGAAGCAGGGAATTAACATGTACAGGTTTCCTCAGGACACCTCTTTGGTAATTGCTCCCAGCTACAGCCTTTTGAATATTGGTCTGGTTTTGAGTGGGAATATCTTGCATCCTCACCAGTAAAATGGTTAAACCACTAGCTTCTGGCTGTTACACCATCAGCTTGACACAGGCACTGAAAAACCTGCAAAGTTTCTAGTCCAAATTTCCCTTGTCCATTACCTCTAGTTTCATCCTCAGTGGATGTAATGAGAAGTTTATTCCTTTGTCTTTGTTGCAGCGCCTCACCTACTTGAGTGCTGTTATCATGCCTTCCGTTAATCTTTCCATCTCTGGGCTAAACAAATGCAATTTTTGCAATCTTTCCTGAGAGATCTTTTTTTTTCTAGACTTCTGATGAGTTTTATGGTTCTCCATTAACTTCCCTGCCCCTGCTCCAGGCATCCACACCTTTGTCAACACCCTTCCGAAGCTGGACCAAGTATTTCAGCTGTGGCCTAACCAGTGCTCATCTGAATGGAGGGATTTTAATATGAACATATGCTCCTGTCTACCTAGTGGAAGGTCAAGTGAAAAAAATATCAAACAGGCCATTTCACTCACTATTTCTGTAATGATAGCAACTTTTCCATAAACGTAATTTCTTTTGAAAACCAGATATTGATGCCAAACCAGACAGCATTTAAATTCAGTAATTCATGTAACGAATGCAATCAATATATAATTGAACAATCTATTAATCTTTAAAAATGTTTTTGTTTTGACTTTTTGGCATTCACTTTTGTATTAGCTATTTCATGTGGCATTTTAAACTTAGTGGTTTGTGCCCTGTAGTATTCTGTAGTGTATAAACAGAACTACCGATGTAATATCATGCAGTCATTTCTGCTTTTTTTCTGTCTTGATTATACCAATAACAGGCACCTAATTAAGGCAAGGTCAAAACCTGCTTATCTTAGTCTTCCCAGTGTAAAGGTAAAAATAATATGGCCGGGGGGTGGGAAGAAATGATGAGAGCTCTAAGCTCGGACCTTGGAGACTGAAGTCTACCTACATCAAAAGCTGCAGTTTGAGGACAACTGTGGCCGTTGGTCAGCCCTGGCTGAACTCAGGGGCTCCTCCTGAATTTTAAAAAAGAAAGTAAGTTTAGTGTTTCAGTTCATTCATTTCAAAACCATGCCTGAAAACCAGATACAAATTATTGTACTGTTGCTTTAATTTTAGAACAAATGTACCATTTAAATCCAAGCTGGAAAAGACAATAAAGGGAAATTCTGTGAACATGAAGAAAAAAAAAACCCAACAGTTACTTTTTTTTTTTTTTCATTTTGGCCTTGTGGCTATGGGTCAAATGTTTCTCAAGCTCTTCTTAATTCCTTCTTATTTTTCCTTACTCTTACTGTCTCTGGGCCTTCCTGCCCTTCCCCTCTCATCTTCTTCCTGTCCTGTTATCTTTCTCCCAGTTCTGATTTCTTCTCACCTTGTTATCTACTTCTAGACACATTTTTTTAATTTTTGGGTCTTCCCACCACCACCATCATCGCTTTATCAGCCCAGTGTCAGCTCTGAGCATCTTTTAGCTCCATGTGTGTTCTCCAGACATGAGTGCTACATGACAGGTCACCTACACTCTTTTGTCTGAGTTTATTGCCAGCAAGCATGGCAAATGGGAGGGGGTTGTGTGTGGGAGCACTTGCTGAGTAGATTTTGGCTACTCCCACATCAGAGTACATTGAGGTGCTCTCATATGAAAGGGATCACTACATCTAAATTTGTTGAAAACCACGCAATTGTAACTTTACGTGGTTGTCCCTCATCTGAGGCTGCAGCCAACCTGCCATGAGCAGAAAAATGAATCTTTCTATCTTTCTCTTTGTTTAGCAACAGTCTTTAATGGGCCAAAGTTCTTTTCTCAATCATTTTTGACCTCTTGCTTTTATCCCCCCCTAGGATTCTCCTTAGTCACAACTTAACATTGCAAATAAGAGCATAATAAGCCACTAGTTCTATCACTTCTTTTAATCAACCAGTTCCCCCCCAAATCCTGGTGAGTTTTAAGTATTTTTGCGTGTTGCTTTCAACTTGTTTTTAAAGTATACTTAATTATCCACCATTTTAAGAAAATAATTAATTCATAAGACCCTACTTTAGTCTACTCTGCTAATCAAATTTACCTTAGTTTATCTCTAGTCTGTGATAAAATCAGCAAATTGTGAATCATAACAAAACTGTGACTTAAATTCTCAATTTTTTTTAGTTTTGAGGAAATCTTGGCCTATCAACATGGTTATTAAATGGAACACCTTTAAAGCATGAATAATCTAAGTATTGCAGCGGGCTTTCCACAAAGTCATGCTGAGTTAGGGGAAGAATAAGTTAGGGAATGAGCTAATTGGCCAGCTAGCGCGTTTAGCTGGTGTTACAGACATGGTAGTTACTGAGAGATGTTATAATAAACCATATGAAATGTAGGCACTGTTGAAAAAACATTCTGGTTTAGTGCTGTGGCCTTGTGGCATGGGGAATTACAGGAGATTTGTCAGCAGCTCATAATGAGAATGAAGAGACGGAAAAATGCTCGTTGTTTTTGGAAACAAGATTGCTTTTTGGTCTATTTGGATAAAATTTGTTTTCGAAGTTTTTCAACTGTGGGTTATGAAGCATTATTCTGACTGGGTAACTAAATGGCAGACAAAACAGTATTTTTAAATGCAGTGTGCAAGGGGCTGTGCATAGCCTGACTGTATTCATGTGTCCTGGGGAGTGGGGCTGAGTCAGCAGCAGGCCCATAGGTAACTGATTTAATTTGATATGGGATATGCCCACATCAAACTGGGCCAGCACGTGCTGTGACGAGGCATTACAAAGGCAGCAGCATACGTAGAAAAGATACCCAAGAAAGCGGGGCTCACTGGGAAGGGGCAACATCTCAGCTGAGACCCATTAGAAATGTGCAGGTGCCAAGAAGGCTGATACAACTCCTCTTCAAGCAGTGTAAGGTGTTAAGGGCTCATCTGACTAGACCTTAATATGTGCTCGCAGAGCTCCTGCAATTGTACTATGTATTTATTTTTTTCCAGGTTAGATCTATGACTCTGGCAGGCCTCGGGTGGTGCTCGTGAAATGTTAATCGGAGTGGAGCATGCTGAGCAAAGGGAACAAAGCTGGCTGTTCTGCCCTGTAGCCAAAAAAAGAGAGAATGCCAGCAGATATTACCATGAATAGAGTCACACAAGAATAGTGACATGCTGTCCTGACTCAGTTTTGCGATGTCTGTATTACAGCATGCTAATGCAGCATGACAGGATGTCATGCTCCAAACCTGAAAGCACTGGGGGATTAGTCTGTGGCATTTTGCTCCCCCATTCCGTCATAGAGCTGATCTTTTCCTCCCCAAATGTACCCATCCTTGTCTCACAGCAGTTTAAAATCGTTGAGAAATGCTACTGTTTCTGACTCAATGTAGTTTTTTCACCCCCTTTATCACCCCCCTAACTCCTTTTAGTAGAAAAATACAAACCCCCCAGCAATGAGACTGAAAATCTTATTTGAGGCCAAAACTCTAGTTGAGTTACGCTGTTACAACTTTTCAGCACAGCCAGAAGATATAGATATTATTTTGCTTTTGGTTTGGTGGGGGTTTTTTTGGACAGCTTGTTTGTTTTGTAATATTGGACACTTTCACCTACTAACTTGACATAGGATTTTTAAGACTGGCATCATTTACTGCAGTAAACTCCCAACAGCCAGAGCACTGCCTTAAGGGCAATGGGAAAAGTCAGTCATTACTCAACCTGGTGCTTCCCAAGCCGTGCTCTGTGAATTCTCCTCTTCCCCTCTTCCCCTCACATATAGTGATCAGGGTGATGCTGAAAAGCCATCCTGAAGTGCTTGTTCTAGCCAGGGAGCTAGTACAATTTTGTTCCTCCAAGGCAGGAGAATGGGTACTTACTCCTGCAACCAGTTATTTTAGGTAATCCTCCACCCTGAAGACCCAGAGCAGCTGCAGTTGTACTCAAGGAGAGGAGGATGTAGCAAAAAAACCTTTAATTGCTCCAGGTTTTTTTCCAAACTAGTCTTAGAGTCACTAATAGCTGTTGGAAAACAACCCACAGTCCAAGGGGGGAGGCTGTAGCAGATGGTCCCCATTATAGTAGTGAGGGCAAAGCTAAGAGATTTAGGATACAGCTTGAAAAGATTGCTAGCAGTTACATGATTTGGTTGCTTCTGCTAATAGGCTTCTGAACTTGATTTTCCAGGAGGGTCCTTCCTACTCTCTGCCTTATATGCCTATGTAGTGCTAAATAGATCTGGAAGGTGGCTGAATATGATTCTGTGTTTATTTCAGGAGATGGTATTCCACCCAGTTCCACTTGTGCAACCACATCTACACCAACAACAAAAGCTGGTAAGAGTTCAAATTCACTGTTATCTGGTATTCGGAAACTCCCATTGCCTTTTTAGCTTTCAGCTTTTCCAACTTCTGGGAGAAATTAGGTGAATTATTTCATGTAAGGTGATTGTAGAGCAATGTATTTATCTGGGCCTCTTATAAAACTCTGTTGAGAAGAAAGGATTGAGGGATCTTAGTAAGGGAGGGTTAATTTGAGCAGGATGCATTTTTTGTTTCAGGTGAAAAAGGCTGCAATTCTGTGTGTTCTGTGCTCTTAAGGAGTGGTTCAAGTGTGATCAGATATTAATAAATTAGCTAAGACTCATAGTTCAAGAGGTTGTTGGATTGAGAATAATTTGGGAAACAGCCTCAGTTAAGGGATATGGCAGCAGGGGGTAGCTGATTTGATGGGTGTAGTGTGACAGAAGAGGGCATGGACTTTGATAGTGAAGAATTACACAATATATGCCAATGTTGGGCCTCAGTTAGTAGGAGAGAATACATGTGCATAAAGCTGTCATTTGCAAAAATGTTACTGGTAACTTCTTGAAATTATTGATGTCAAGATTCACTTTTGGGGGCAAGGGGATTCCACCAGTGCCCTCAGTTTCAAAAGCTGCATTGTCCGTCTCTTTTTTTTGTGATTGTTTTAACTAGATCAAACTTAAAGTCCTAAAACTATGAAGACTTAACAGAAAAAATACCTGCTTCAGATGGTAAAAGTCTGTGATTCTGGCTTACATCTTCAACTGACACATTCAGTTCTCTTTATTGTGTAGTTTTGTACTTATGAAAAATCAATATTGACCGTATTTCATTCATGTGAGCTAAATATCAACTCCTTTATTAGTTTGAATATTGAAGACTGCTGCATTTAATAAGTGATGCATGTGAGAGAAGAAAACTTGGACACAGGATTCTATTTTTTGATAACTAGAGATACTAATGAGTCTGTTTTGAAGTTGAAAGCACTGAGGTGAGTATGATGTATATGCTTGAAGTGCTAGTAATGGACGTGAATAAGATGCAGCCAGGTGAAGTATGCATATATTATGTTTATTACAGCAGAAGAATTAGTCCTTTTCAAATTCTGTTGCAGTTGTTTTATGTTTTAGAAACCCTGATGTTCATGTCTGTTTCAAAGCTATTTCATAAAGGCCCACCACCTCACAGTGAATGAGCCCTTCAAATGTTTCACTGAAATTTCTCTTGCAGCTTTTTGTCACAGAAGGGAAAGCAGTATTGTTATTTATGCCTATGAGAAAAGCATCAGAAGCCCACTATGAGATTAAAGCACTTTGTGGGTGTGGAGCAAGCTCCCAAGGAGGTCCATCCTTTGAGGCACTGCTATTCTAGGTGAACAGCCAGCAGACTGAGAGTGGAGGAAGAAAGTATAAGTTATATTCCAAAAGTTCTCATATGAACATTGCATTTAGAAGTACTCAAGTCATATGAGAGAAAATGACATGTCATGTCATGATTTGTTCCTATTCTTTCATGTATCCCATCCATGAAAAGTGCTAGAAGAGGTAGCAGGACACATGTTGGGTTGTTGTCAGGGATTTAAATAAGCCTCTGTAGCTGACAGTAGCACTTTCTGTTTGTATTAGATTACAGAATTGAAAGCTGGGCTTTTAAAATGATTAGTTATGGCTTTTTCAGCCCAGATTCCTCGACAGCAATTTGGCCAGTCTGTTCGCTTGAGCATGTGTCAGGCTCACATAGGACCTGCAGTATGCCATCCATGCACAGCAAGACACACTGATTTCAACCTTGCTATTGCCTTAGTGATGTTTGGGCAACTCTGCTCCCCTCTTTCCATACCAGCAGCAGCTGGAAGTGATCCCTGCTGCCTGAGGGAGCCCTTTACCTTTCCTTCAGCCTCCAAATCTCACCCCTCTGGAGGAAAGAACTACCAGGAGTCACCTTACGAAGGGCACCAAGTTCACCCAGAGAACCATCACTTACTAGAGAATACTATTCATCTGATCCACTATGTCCTAAGCTTTGCTGCACACCTCAGAGGAAGGGCTGCCAGGTATTCTTTTATCCCCAGAAATCTGGGTGCAGAGGAAGAGGGTGTGGCAAGAAGAAGACTCAACCGGGGCTTGAGGTGGACAGCAGAAAGAAGAGGAAGAAATTGCACAAAGACTAGTAGAGTCTCTTCCCTTTTGGTTCTTTACCTGTAATATATAAGCTGTGTTCCTGTGTGTCACTCGCACTTCTTTCTAGTGAGTTTACATCCCTTCACCTATTAAACAGGCATGCAGCAAAGTGCTGGTCAGCAGTCTAGTCCAGCAGCACAGTGAACCCATCCATCCATGCCAGGGTCCCTTCCCCTCACCTCCTCCCTTGAAAGTCATGTCAGGCACCTCTGTATAACTCCCAAAGAGCATACACCTCTTCCTTAGGGGATGGCTGGAAGATACAGCTGCTAACTTTCAGTGGGCAATTTGCAGATCGTCCACAGGCCAAACTTTCCCTCTGATACCAACCACATGCACTTTGAATCCTCTTTAAAAATGCGTGGGTAAGAAAGGACTGTAAGGGCCAGACTTTAAACAGAAATTCACTGCCTTTGTGAGAGAAGGCAGCTAGAGGTGTGTGATGTTTATTTATGCATGATAAAATAAATCAATAAAGATGTGAATGCCTTTCTTGCAGTAATGGAAGCTGTGAGCACATCAACCTTGCAATCAACATCATTGCAAATGTCAGTGCTGACAACTGAAAACAGAACTACAAATGAATCCATCACAAGTGGTAAGTGAAAATTTCTTTGAGCTAATTGCTGATGCTGTTCCAGTGGTCATTCAGGAAATTAAGCAGCCATGCCTCTTGGCTTGGGAATTTGTTTTACAGGTAGTGAACTCTTTGGTGAAACCTTGCAGGTGTGCACAGGAGCTTCCTCTTGGTCAGGCTCAAGGCAGCTCCAAGCCAGGCCTCATAACTGTGCTATCACAGGCTTGTCTTCAGTGTGATGACCCACCTATGGGACAGTAAAGGCTTTCTCTGCGGTGAAGGGAGCCCTGTCCCTGTTGTTTTTCAATTTAAATGAAATATTCTTTTGATACTTTAAAACTAGGCTGCAAGCAGGGCAATAGGTGTGGTTTTTGTGTGTGGATATGTATGTATACAAAATTGATGAAATAATTTGAATGTCATTCCTCTATTAGACTCCACATCTTCTTCACCTAATGCTACACAACAAATAACACAAGATACAACAACACAACTACCAGTAAAAGCGACAACTACAACAGCAGAAAAAAGTGACAGCACAACAAACAGTAAGTGATAATTTCATTGAGCAATTTCTGATTCATTGTATGCTGCATTTCTGTAAAACAGTGTGGAGCAATAAAAGGACATCAAAAAGTAGTTTGGGTTATGGATTTGGAGGCTTGGGGAAGCAGAGCTGTTCATCCTATGATATTACATATCTTTAATGAATCTTGCCCTAGAATCCTACACAAAGAATATTATACCTTTAATTTGTAGTGGAGGTGATCTGAAGCCATGACACGGGATTTAAATCTCCCTGTAATTGGGAGAGATTTATTTGGAACAGTTTAATTTTCTTCTGTGTTTTGGTTGTGGGTTTTTTTTTTTTAAATAACTGTTTCTTCAAAAAGAAATGATTCTATGTGATCAGAGTAGTGTCAGAACAGCCCTTTTTGTTTTTTATTTTTGTATTTGTCACAATGCTACAGTTAATTATGTTCTATGTTATTATGAGTCACAGTACTGCAAGCAGAGAGGTGGTACTAATTACCCTACATCAATGCTAAGAAATACTTTTGTTCTCCATAAATCTTCAGAATAATGTGTGTTTTGGCCCAGCGCATCAGATTAAGATTCTAGAAAAATAAAATTAAAAAAAAAAAATCTCACATATCCAGCAAGTAGTTGGATTAATTTAAACAAGTATAATAACATCCAAAAGGAGCTCAGCAGACTTATGATGAAATTCAGTCCCCCTTTTTTGTCTATGAGCTACTCTGTAAATGTTTGCTCAAGTCTTTTGCTGAACCAGAGCTTTTTTTATATTTAATTGACTCAAAAAATTAAAAATAAATACTCCAGATATTTAACTCAGCAGTCAGTGGTACACCAATGTTCTCAGAATTTATATTTAGAGCATACTGAACTGTGACAAATAATTAGAACTTGACTTCTCTTCCCTTGGTTTCCTTGTCTAAAAAGGGTTTCCTATGAAATGGCCTGCATGTTTTCTTTGTGCAAATTCTCCTTCAAAGCCACCCCTCACGGACCCAAGCCTGCTAAGCTGCCTGGAGAGCCATCACCCTTTCACTTAGCAGTTACATCTTCTACTGATGTAGCTTTCCTGCTATGCTTGGTGTAGGGAGTAGTCTGATTCTCAGCCCAAAGTCTTTTGGTTTTTGGCTTGGCTTTTAAATGCCAGTATGCATGAGTCACAGAATACAGTCTGGCCGATGCACAAGCTGCTGAAGTGATACCGAAGGCCACAAAGAATCTTTTTAAGCTTGCATTTATGACCCCGTGGGCCTGTCAAAAGCCTGCGGCATGGTGCATCACACTATGGATGCGATTCCTAGTCCTTTTGGTTTGGCGGAGGTTCCTGGCTTGTGGGTACCGGAATGGCACAGCCACCTGGAACTAAACCTTGGTGACAGGTAGAGCTCCCGGCGGGGGAAGGAAAGCTAACGAGGAAAGGCATGCCTGCCAGTACAGCTTAGCTCCGGCCACTGCTCTGCACTGATGCCCTGAAAAACTGGTGCTGGGGGTACAATGGTGCTGTGGAGGTGTGATGGGCCTGGGTGTGAAGTTTTCACCCATGTGCTTCCTTTCTATTCCTCTTGTGTCCTCTTCCCACCAGCTAGAGTTCAGTGCCTAGTTGCTTGGGTTGTGATTTGTTTTTAGAACTCCTCACTTAAGCTAAAAAAACCCCATAACTTGTGATAAAAATGGTTGATAAATGAAACTAAAAACAGGGCTTACCTGCCTCTCACTCCCTTTTGTAAGATGGAAAATTAAAGAAGATATTGGGAACTGCCCTGTATTAAAAGACTTTGTATTTTCTTTCAACGCTAAGTAGTATTTGGAAAAACTGTGTATGTGAAAACCAATTTTAGTGTTTTTTAAGTCAAAATTCTGGTCTACCTTTCAAGAAAGTCATATCCTTGGCTTCAGCACAAAGGAGTGGGATGGTGCACAAGGTAGGGCTTTGGGACTGGGCACTGCACAGGGGCTGTGCAGATGTGTGTCCAGCCCTTGCAGAAAACCCACAGACCCCTCGACCACTGTCTGGCTGCTGGCTACAGCCATCTCTCTGTTTCCATCCCACGTGTTGGCATGGTGAGGTGCTGTTGACTTCACCACAGCAGCACAGGGCTGGGGGAGTCGCATTCCCTGAAGTGAGCACAGGCATAGCAAGAATTCTGCTCTCAAAATGGACAGGAGATGAAAGTTGTCTACTCTCTCTTTTTCTTTTTCACTAGCACTCACTTCTCCCCCTTTTTGGGCTGGCTGTATGGGACTGAGGCAGAAATTGGCAGTGCCTTTATGACACTTCAAAATATACCTTTACTACACGTGACTTTTAATAAAAAGGAGGCACTTCTGTTGTTTCGTAATGGAGACCATCACACTCTCTGGTTCAATCCCTGCTAAAAGCTTCAGCAAATGATCACACTCACACAGCAGAGATTTGACAGGGTTCCTGTCTCCGCTGCAATTTCTGTGGCTACTGTCACCTTTTATTATAGATTCAGGAAATGCCCCCAGTGCTCCATACACTGTGAAATCATGCAAACGACTTCGTCTTTTTTTTTTTTTAAGTCTTCAGTATTTTCTTCCTCTGCAGGCCATAAGTACAATCTCTCCCTCTTTGCCCTCCTGCCCTGTTTATTATATTGGAAGCCAGCAATTAGACTTGTCTCCTTAACCTTCTTATTTATTAATATCAGTGGCCAAATCCAATAGTTCACATTTAGTCAGAGAGTGACCTCGCTTGTGCAGTCCAGGCCCCAAACCAAGAATTTATATGGTGCCACACTACAGCAAGTTGCATCTGCAGTCGGGATTTCATATCCTGGGACACTTGGAGTTATCAAAGAGAATATGAAATTAAATGCAACAAAACATTATGTTCTTTCTCCCTTGGATATGGAGCAAGCATCTTATGCAAAGTCAGTGCTCAAGGTATTAAATTACAAGTAAGAGTGGATTTTTGGCTGTTATGTTTCTGATTTATCTCATGCCACTCTTCTGAATGATGATACACGATGGTGCAATGAAATATTCAATATTAAAAAGTAAGAAAAGGAAAGAATGCAGGAGATACTTTTTCTCTTTTTGTCAAGCTACTGGTAATTAAGAAGGAAGCTTTACTTCAGTAAAACTACCAGAAGAGGGCTATGGTAATATGTATCGCTCAATTGTCCTCAGGTTGTTACCGCATGCTATAGGTAAACACCGAGTATAGTTGGCTGCTGAGACATGTTAGGCAGAGAGATGTTTTAAAACATATATTTTTAAATACTTGGGGGTTTCTGCTTACCAGAAAATGTAAAGCTGGCAGACAGCAGATGCAGTCAGCTACGGGTGTAAACATTAAAGCTGAGATCTGCTTGGTTACCTCCCTAGCCAATTTCCATTCCTCTGAACAAGCGTGAAGTTGCATTGGGTTTGCTACACTGGGATTTTTCAAAGCTTTCATGAATGCACTTGTTAATGCAAATGGTTTCTCAGGCTATTGATTGCAGGTGTGAGGCCTATATGTGTGTTTATGCTAAAGATACAAGCTCAAGGGAGAAGGTTTAGTCTTCCATCTAACAAAGCTCTCATGCTGGCATTTTAATGCAGTTTGGGTGCAGTTCCCTCTGCCCTGTAAAGGTGTTTCCTTGATTCATTCATTGTCCAAGTAAGGTTTGAACACAGATGTCTATATTCTTTGCAGTGCATAGAGTATATGCAGAGTATTTGCTGCTTACTTTAAGCATCTTATGATGTCAAAGCTAGTTAGGTAACAGCCTGCTGTAAAGAAAATCTAAAGTGCTGTTGGGAAATGCCAAAATATATGTGGATTATACATAGGTTAAGTAGAAAATCATGCTAAGATCAAGTGAGGATATCTGTCGAATTTCAGCTGGTTAAAGAAAATGAAGGGGTTTGAGAGCACAAAGAGTAAGGCAATACCTGAGGCTCAGACAGCAGCTTTGCAGAGCAGCTTCAGGTTCCCTGTTGATTATCACTTTGACAAATATATGTTAACACACTGTCATTTATCTTATCAAAATATCAGCAGGGAGAGCTGCATCACCACCAGGGATTTCTGCCACTGCAGCAATCATGCCCATTCGGACAGCTATTTTACAATCTTTACTGCTTTACCATTTTTATTCATAATCAGCTGTTGACAACAAACCCATTAACTGATGATGTGAGTGCTTTTGCAGCAGCAGCAGCCATCCTTCTCTGCTGTGCTGCTTTTCTGCGAGCCCAGGCCTCCCCCTGCCAGGCAGGCAGAAATCTTTGCTGCAGCTGGCTGAGCCAAAGCGTGATGAATTACTGCAGCGATGTGTCAGTGGGGATGGCAGAACTGAGTCACTGTGTGCCCGCGCAGAGTCCCCCGCCTGTTCCCAGGCAGAGCACGGGCACCGCAGTAAGGACTTGCAATGTCTCCTCCTGTTGAGATCAAATTAAAACTTGCATAGATATGAGTTATGGGATTTTCCAAAAAGGCAGATTTCTAGCAGGCACACTGTGCTGTCAGTGCTGCTGTTGCATAGGTGAGCAGTGGCTGGATATGGATGCTTCTGTTCCCACAGGCTTTTGGCACAGAAGCTCTTCGATCTGCTAAATGTGTTGATGGTAGAGCCAATGCTGTGTATTAGGTGTAAGGCTTGGATGCTGCTTAAAAGCTGCTTCAAAGCCACAAGTCAGCAGAGAATTGGGTTGCTAGGATTTAATCTTACAGTCATACAGTGGAATTAAGGGAAGCTGCCCTGCGAGGCTGAGTTTTTTGTCTTGGGAGTGGTGAAAACCGGCACACAGACTTTTGCACCATAGCACATCTACTTCACCCCTTGACACTGGGAGTGGGGAGCCTGTTCTGCAGTCTGCCGAAATAAGTGCAACAAGCGTCACGCCAAGCCCTAGGTAAAGGTGTGAGTCATACCTGGTGCTACTCAAGTCACAGGAAGAATCTCACCCAGGCTAAATTAAAAAAAAAATGAAATGGAAACACTATCATCCCTCCCCTCCCAATCCCCTGCCGAGGCATATCCAGCGCACAGCCCATGTTCCCAAGAACAATCTGTTCTCCCAGCTCCCAAACACAAGAGGAGCACCCGGGGCTGGGCTGCTGCCAGGACTGATAGGATGCCTGGAATGTGTGATCCCCATGGGAAAGCGGCTCTCCATGGAGTTACAAGGCAACTGGCTGCCTCCCTCCTCATCTCTCCCACACACCTGATTGTTTTGCAGTGTTCACAAAGCATATTTGTGTTCGATTATCTCAGCACATGAAGGCTTACTCTTATTCTGCCTTACTTTTCATTCTCTCATGAAAGCTTTTACTAACTTACAATAAGGCAGCCACAAGATGGTTGCTGTTACTGTTACAAGCCCATGCATCTTAAAGGGAGAGGGAGGTTCTCTGGGGTTTTTGCCCTTTTTTTTTTTTAATTGATCTCAGATTAAAATTCAACATTTAAAATTTGAGTCTGAAGCAACCACAGTAAGAACCAAAAGTGGAAAAAGGTTGCTTTTAAAGATTCATTCAGGGCTTCTATGACAAGAATGCAGGAATTATTAAAGTTCTCAGATCCTTGCATTATACCATAGTAAAAAATGAGGTAGAGGAGCTTTTTACACTCATCTCTACTGCAGATTAGGCTTGCATATTGAAGGGGTACAATGCTGAGGTTTCTGGAAGGAGCTGACAGTGAAATTACAGTTCTCATCACTAGAATCCCAGTGAAAGTTTTAGGCATTTAAGCTTGTTTTGCATAATTTTCAGTACAGTTTCCTTCCATGCCTCAACCTGCAAAGATACTATCCCTGGCTGTCCAGCTCCTCACAGTTCTCAAAGTTGTATGAATCCCCTGACCCCAGTGGCTTCAGCTCACTCATTCTTAGCTCATTGATTTTTGAAGCTTGCCTCTCCAAGGTATTGCACTTAATAAACAAGAGGGAAGGGCTGAGTTAAAGGTGTGTGGTGGTAGAATAGGGAGCTTTGGGTGTTGGGTTTTTTTTCCTGAGAAAAGGGGTCTTTGAGGGACCAAACTGGTAATCAGAGTTTCTAAATAAAGTGTGCGATGAAGCATTCCTCAAGATTCACGTTACGTGTGCATGATGATGCGCTCGTTTGACTAAAACATGTCTTAAAGTTGTTTTAGTTCTAGTGTTTGAAATTCATAATGAAGAGGCACTGAAAACAGTTTATAGCTCAGTCGCATCTCTGATTTATATCAGAAAGGAAGTATAAGGTTACTCTTGGGCACCCCTATGTTTTATTCAGTAGGCACTGTCTTGTCTGTTGTTAATGCTGAGGTTTGAGCATAGATGTAGGAATTATCAGCTGTGCCGGAACAGCTTAAATTCTTTCTTGCTGTCACTTGGTGACCTTCAGTTCTACAGGCTCAGGCGGTGCCCTGCAGCATTGTCTTGGACTTACCTTAGGCTGCAAATCTTGTGACACAGGTGGCCTTGATCCTCTATTGACTGTGTGAGAGCAGAAATAAGACGCTTTAATTTTTCATACATTAGTTTTCAGGGATATATTATTTCCTAGGCCTTAAGAGCACAGAATGAAATAATTAACTCTGCGCTTAATTACTATCCCTAAAACTTTTTACAATACCACATTATGTGGCAGTTGTGGCTGAAGCTTGCTTTTTTTGTTTGTTTTTTAAATTGTTTTTAAAATGAAGGTTAAAGATAGAGGGCAGTAAGTGGGCCTCTCTCTTCTGCTCATGTTACTCTTGGCACAAGACTGTCTAGTTATTCTGGGCTCCCAAGTCAGAGCTCTAGGCTGTCTTCTGGCACAGATGTGAGGCTGTTTCTGGTGCTAGGATGTGCTTTAAAGATGCCTCAACTTTGCCAGTAGTAACAACTTCCATAGGGATGGTTCATCGCTTGACAAGAAGTTACAAGAAGCTGTAGTGCTTTCTGACCTTAAGTCTCTTCTATAATGGTGGGAGCATTTGTCTGAGGGATGATCCAGGATCTCAGACAGTGTTTATACAGGTGTATCTTACCTGAACATTTGTCTCCTTTCCAGCTACACAAGCAAGTGTAACACAGTTGACACGCAATGAGAGTTTGGATGCTTCATCTACTACGAGACAGTCTTTTTCATCTACAATCTCTCTACAAAAAACCACTTCTGCTCCTGGAACCTCAGGTAGGTCTTGAAAACATACACTCTGTTTTCCTATACAAACAGTTAAAAAGATGCAAATAACTTCGAATCTCTTCATTTGTTGTGCATTGTCCTGGAATGAGAGCCACCTCCTTATTCATGCAGGGTACGCTGTGCCCATGTCATCTAGCTATGAAGTTATGATGAGTGATGGGTGAACTTCAAAACACTCAGCTGAGATACTCAATGTCATTACAGGAGGATATAAATTACAAAAGATAATAGCAATCTTTATATATGCTGTATGTGGTCATTGTGTAGCATTGACTGCCAGAGGAGGTCATCAAGATAAATTCTCTGGCTGCAAAGCAAAGGAGACAAAGGAGAAAACAGCTATAATTTTTACAATTGTTAATAAATATGGAGGGCAAGTTAATGCATATTACCAATTAAATTACATTGTTCAAAGTACAACATGGTCACATGCAAGGTCAAAAAGATATTAATGCTTCCAAACTCCAGTCTAGTTTTATTGTTTTTCTGGGTGTGTTTTGTTGTATTTATCCACTAAGCCACACTGTGGTGAATATAGATGCCAGGTCACATGAGCAATCACTTATTATGCTTCTAGCTGGCTTAACTTTCCTAGATTTTGAAGAACCATTTATTCAGGTTTTTTTAAGGTCTCTTGAGCCTTCACTTCACTCAGTACTTACTTTCAGCTACATGTGTATAAATCCAATAAGGACACTGACTTTGTTTGCATATCCCAATTATTATTAATCTTTAATATCCCCCAAAGGGTACAAGACTCTTTTTAGAACCTCTGGATTGTGTTTGTGGGAAATAAGCATGCACGTGTACTGTGGTTTTTCCTCATAGAGGATAGGATCGGATATAAAAGTGGAGTATTATCATATGCTCAGTACACACTGAAATGCTTAGAAACATGCAAAAAGATATTATAATAATAAGCATTTTAAGGAAGTTGGGATTTTTTAACTGTTAATCCCAGGCCACTGATTTAGAGAGGATCTTTGCAATTATTTCAATAAGGCATATATTGTGAGCTGTAGTTACTTGATTATCCTGTTAGGTTTTGTGTCTTTTGGCAGACACATGCATGGTATGGAAACCTTACCATTGGTACACTGCAACAAAGCAGTAAATTACAATGTTTTTAATTAGCAGTTCTCTCGCACAGGTAAATTCTCCAGGTTAAAATGAAATTGTAATATATATCTGGCTATGGATCACATGTATTGAATTACCTGTAACATTGTCTGTACAATTACATTTTACATTTAAAATTTGCCCAGAAAGTTTTACAACCTTCCTTGGGTCTGTTTGCGAAAGGCATCATCTTACTCAGCTCACTATGCTGTAAAACCAATAAATCATCTTAAGCTTGGGGACTACCCAAGATGCCAGGACTATAATTGCCTGGCTGTGAAAGAAAGGGCCCATCTATCCAGGGGGAGTCAGTCTAGGTGCTTGGCATAGCCAGTACTCTGAGTTCCCATAAACCTGCCATTTCAAAATCACTTCCTCCCGCATAGGATTTCCATGCTTACACCTTTCCTGTCTGCTCACAGCACCAGCTCCTCGCTTCTTTCTTGCAGCTTAAATATGCAAGAAATCCCATTACTTACCCTGATGAGTGAGGTAGCTTATCCCAAATGGGCGCACCTTTAGGCCACCCTTGCTCCCTTATTCTCTGTATATGTTAAAGACTTCAAGAAAAAATGTTGTGGTTCCCTCTAAACAGATTTCTTCTTCTATGTGCAATTGCTCAGGGCCAAGGGAAGCCATATGCTGCACCCTAATAACTTTCAAAGCAATGCAAGTGTGAAGCCACTCATTTCATTCTGTGCTGAGACTAGAAGAAATGCTGACTTTCTCACTGCCATTAGATTATTTCTTCTCAGCTCTTTGAAATTTCACATTCAGGGGCTTATTAGGGGCTGGATACCTTTTGTTCACCAGAGCAGAGGCTGGTATGTGCAATGGGGCTGGTGCTGCAGCCCACAGGGATAGCAGAGCTTGCAAGCTGAAAGCACCCAAGCCACAGCTTCTGCATGGGAGCTCAGGGGAAGACAAATTAATGTGAAATTGATCCAAAACAGAACATTTCTGTTTGGTATGCTCAGCCAAAATAATTCAGCTGGCTAACCTCAGTGCAAAAGAATATATTTAGTTTTGAGACCATTTTCCATTTTTAAAAAAATGCCATTTTGGTGAAAATTTCCTTTCTTGCTGCAGAAAAAGAAAAAAGCACGTTTTGAAGAGAAATTTCCCATCAGCCATATCAAAAGATCAGGGTGTGGGAGGAGTGCCACAGAGAGCTGGAGAGCGACTGAAATGAGTGGGGGAGCCTAGGAAAGAACTTGGAGAAACATCAGAGAACAGTATTGCTGTATTAAAGAAGATTGAAACCACCAGCCATGGAGGAGGGGCTGTGTAGTGCTCACCCAGGCTAGAGAAGGCAATAGGGACTGTTTTTAGCAAAAAGAGCAACCTGCATGTGTGCCGTTGACACATACACTTCTTTAACTTTGGCAGTCATGTATAATATACCTCCTACTCATTCTCCACCTCCACAGAGGATTGCTTGCTAATATTTAATTTTGTCCTTTTGTTTAATTAATGAAAAATTGGAGATTTAGTGGACCAGTCAGAGTCTAAATACATCTGAGAAACTTTAAGTATTGTAGCTTTTTATTCTGTGACCTAAACAACAAAAAATCCATAAAGCAGTATGAGCTTAAGTTCACCCAGCAGGGTGGTAAGATCAAATGATCTATTATAATAAACTGTCAGATGAATCAACCTGCTGCATCTATTGATATCTTTATTGCACTCCTCCAATTATAAATCCTACTCACTTGATTCACAGGAGGCATCTCCCTAAGAAAAATTCTTATGAGTAAGACAAGGAGGGTTTGACTTTTTCTGTACGCAAACTGTGTAGGAACTCTGGATAGTGATATTAGGCAAAAATTACCCACTGTATCTTCAGCTTCTTCACAAAGAGACAGACACAAAATTTGAAGTGCCTGGCAGATGGAAAATATAGGAAAGCCTCAGTTAACAGTTACAGATCTATAGCATGGTCAGGGCAAGGAGGTTTTTTTAAAGTTCTTAATTTTGCTTTGATTTATATTGTGGTATCCCTCTGAGTAATCAGCCAAATTTATTCGTTTGTTTTGCCAGTGAACACAGTTTCGTGTGGCTTGCCTCCAAAATCAGAAGCAGCAAACTGCAGGGTATCCAGGCTGTTTAGGTAGTGGTTGTTGGAGAACAGAGTGGGGAGAGGTTAGTTACTGGTCTCTTCCTCCATCTGTCAAGCTTCCAACCAGCACTGAACTGACTCGGGCAGGTATTTTCAAATCAAACCACTGTCATGTGCCAATTTTTTTATCCTTGTCCTCCTTACTGCACAACAAGGACTCAGCACAGCCAGTGTTGCACACCTCACTTTTCATGATGAATTTGGAAATCTTCCCAGATTATTTATGCAGAGCATCTGCCCGCTAACCCACAGCCCCAAAGGACGTAGTAAGCTCTGAACAGGCAGCCAGAACAACTACGGCAACTATGTTACCAAGTGAAATGCTGCCTTTCCTTCTGTCCTTCTCTTTCTGTAGACCGGCATCCTGAGACCCTGCCACCAAAAAGGGTACTGGATGGTTATTTAGAAAATGCAAACTGAAAGCACCTGCTGAACTGCTCCGATAAGCACAGCTTTGTTTGTGTGGCAGGGCTGAGCAATCTCTGCACAGAGGGTGAGCTGGCACCTTGCTTGCAGACTGGATACAGGGGGAGACAGAGAAGGGCATGAGATTTTTCCTATTTAATTTTTCATGCTCTAGCACAATCTGGGTGAGCTATCTTTGGGAAAGATGCTTGTAGTTTTATTGTGTTTACATGTGTGCAGTTTTTAAAAAAATAACAGAGGCTCAGGAAGCTCCTGTGGCTCTTGAAGGAAAGGTGGAGGGCTGCTGTCATGTTTCCTACCTGGGATGATTTCTGCTGTCTGGGTTTATTGATGTGGCAAGGTCTGGCCAGTACAGCAGCATGGGTTTTGATTGTGCCTGCGGGTACTGAACCGCAGGTTGCCCAACCCTTCCTGTTCACAGAGCCTAATGTCACCTGCATACAGCTTTCACAAACCTTAAGTCTTTGGGGATATCAGTCTCTGGCTTGACATGCTTTTTCTATTTATTTGTTCACTCTAATTTGAGCCAAGATGGTTCACTTGGTTTGCAAGAGTGAAGTTAAGGGAAAATGTATAATATGTTATAACCTTGACAGGGGTTCTTAGGAAAGCTCAACTCTCCTCAGGCTTGGGAGACAAGGTTTGAATTTCATGGAGAAGTGACCTATTTGTAAGACTTGACAATGTCTTCTGCCTTTCTCCAAGAATATGCACACACAGGGCTTTACAACCCTTGGTGTGTGATCACATGGTATTTTTATCATGGGATCCCACTCCTTATAGGCTGAAGGAAAGGCAGTATTTGGGTAACACGCAATCATATCATATTTGGATGTTTCCTTAATGCCAGGTATGCGTCCTGCTGCTTTCTGTACTGTGTGTCATTCCAAACCTCCTTTGACAGGCCAGTTATTAATTTCCCCAAAGCTTTTCCTTGGCTCTTCTTGTTAATGTTGCCCAAACATGCTATAAACATTGCCTAATGAATCATCACAGAGATCCCCTCTTAGCAAGGTGACATTGCTTTTTGTAGATGGATTGATGAGATGATAAAAAGCTTAGGAAAAACGTCTCCTCTGGATCCTGGGAAGCCAGGGCGAGGTAACTGTGTACCTTCAAAGTACTTAGCATTACTGATATATTTAGTATGTTCAAGAAGAGCTCTTACTGCTGACTTTTAAGTACTTGGCTTTTCAACCTGAACGTGCTTTTTGTGCATGTTTGTGATTAAAATGCAGTTAAAGCTCTGTCACACATATCATTAGCAAAAGTGGTGATTTGCACCCCAGTGGCTCAAGTAATCCATGTTTTTAATTGGGTGTAGAGAGGAGGAAAAACAGCCATTCTGGTTTTCAAAGAGTACATTCACAGCAGTAGAATATCGTGCTTCACTCGTGTTAGAGCTCCAGTGGTAGGGGCTGTCTTTGTGCAAAGCATCGGTCCACAGCACAGAAAGTGCAGCGAGGGCGTAAGAGTGGATTTGTACTCCCTGGGGACCCCGGTTGGAGGAGGGGCACTGCAACCCTGGGCACTCAGGGGAGAGGCTGAATGCCCGCCTAGAGTTACAGCTGCCTTCACGCCGCTCCCTCTGTGGTCTCCCAGTCTGGCACAGCTGGGACACGGAGGACGTGCTGGTGGGTCACATCCTCCCAGAGAGTTCTCAGGACAGGGTCAGATGCACTACATTCCCCACAAATGCTGTGGCAACAGTGAACCCTGAAAAGACCCAATGAGGGGGCTTTTATAGTGCCCTCTAGCCTACAGGAAGGTGACCAAATGCTATGATTTATACCTCAAAATAATGAGTGGCTGCTGAGGATAGAGTGACTGAGGGATTTTTTTCCATGGTAGCTCCAGTAATCCAGTGTGAGAGGCCTCACTAGGTGGGCAGAGTGCCAGTCACTCGTCCCTGGCAGGAGACAGTCTGTCTTGTACAAACCGATAAATGTTTTGCTGCCAGTTCACGCAGGTGGGTATTCTCAGAGACACGGATGAGTTAGGTGCCTGGCTCCCTTTGACTTTAGAGTGATCGCAGGAGAGATTTAATGCAACATAATAAAAATCGGTGTGGGAGCGATGGTTGTCTGTGGCTAGCGTCCAAATGTGAAGTATTCACAGCCGCCTTAATTTCCAAGCCTGCTACAGTCTAGACGTGCAAAAGCAGCAGCATACTAACAAAAAGCTGACAAAAAAAGTGTTCTGCACCAAAAACTTGTGAAGTGGCCGGGGGAAGCTGACAGCAGTGGGCCAGTAAGCAACATGCACAATGCTCTGCAAGGTCCATTTCTTCCTCATTACCAATGCCTCTTACTCCTGCTGCTCAGCAGTCTGCTGGCCAAAAGCACCAAGATAATTAATGAAGATTCATTTTTAAAGGGTTTTGTGACACTTGAAGACACGTCTCAATTAGGCATTTGAGTTTCTTTTATTAAAACACTTATTTGTCAGTTAAATGCCAGCTATTCAGTCCCAGGCACTTACTTGGTTTTGGCAGGAAGAATTTTTTAGGAATGTATCAATTAATTCAGGATTTTCTTCTCTTGAGTGGAATAACAACCTAGCATAGGCTAAGCTTTGAATTCTGCTCACATCTATAAGGGATGTCTGCAGACTTTCACAGCTCAGACTTTCTGGGCTTGGGAACAGCATCAGTGTGTCAGTTCTGGGGCAGCATTTCTTGTGGGGTTACTGAGCACGTTGCTAGAGTCTGCCAGTTTGTGTGATGTGAAGACTCTGGACATCTAAAACAGATACTAACAAATGTGTTCTTTCTGGTTTATTGCAGGCCTTCATGTGAGCTCCCCCACAGAATTGACAAGTAAGAGCAATAGAGGGTTTTCTCTGTGCATGCTGATGAAAAGGGTTGGTGTGGGGTGGGAGGTGGGCAGCCTCAGAAAAGGAGACGTTCAGGGAACAAGGAAGCTCTGGGAGAAGAATGAACCTGAAGCGTAGTACAGAGAAGCAGAGGAGTGATGCTCAACTTGTAGCAGTAACTTTGCTGTGATTTCAGCTGAATGCCATGTTGGACTAGCATATACTGAAAAGAAAACAGGGTGGGAGCACAAAAAAAATCAGGCCTGGCGTATTGCATGAGGCAATGGGAAACTGATATAAATAGAGTATTATACCAAGGAGCTTGTTCTTGTCAGTGGCTGTCATTACTCGTCCCATGGTTAGGAGCAGCAGGTCCCAGAGTAAGGCAAGAGTTTCCTGTGCTAGTGAACCTGTATTGTGCTATTTTCCTTTCTCTGGGCTTATCAGGAAACAGTCTCTTCTGTACTGGTCCCTGCAATTCTTGCTGCTGCTGCCAGCAAAAGCTTGTCCCTCCTGTTACCATGATGGATGTATTACTCCAATTAATTGTTATTCTGATCCCAGATCATTCCATAGGTGGAAAATGTCTTCCAGATCCACTTTCTAGATCCAGAGAAAGTAGACAGGATGGGCTGGCTTGTGAGAAACTTTAATGAATGAAGTGGGGTAACTGAGTTAAAGGTTTTAATTCCTTAATCCATTTTATTCATTCAGTGGTGCTTCTTTTTAGCTATTGTATTTCTTATTGATGGTCTCAAGTAATTAAAATGCTAACCTACGGATTTTTCTTTCCTTCATTACACACATCCTGGTCATTTAAGAAAGAACTGGGAAAGTAACCAATGGATTTGAATCCTCAGTTTTTCTCCTGAGGAGATGTTGCACAAATGCAGGGATACACGTTCATGTTTTTCAGTGTAATTTGTTTCTGTTGACATTTTCAGTCAGTATCCAGGATAACTCATTGCTGTGATAATTGCCTGCTTGCCCTGTATATCATGTAGTATATTGGGTAAGGTAGCGAAAAGGGTCGTAGTATTTCCCTGGGAAATCTAAAGCAATCACATGGAATTACAAATCCATAAGAATTATTTCAGTCACTTGATGGCTCACAGTTTCCATCCTTACATTATCACCCCTCAGCAGACTGGCACCACAGGAGAGAGAGCTTCTGCTTTAAAGAAACATAGTGATTTTTCAGAGATAAGGGTCTCAGACAAGGATTGTTTTCTACACTATAGCATCAGAATGTCTCTGCTGTGGCTGTATTGTTCAGGCACCACACAAGCACATAGTAAGTGATCATTTTTCCCCAGGATGTTTCAGTCTCTGGCCAGACAAATGAGGCGGGGCAGGAGGGGGGCACGGAGAAAGGAAACAGAGAAGCTGACAATCTGCCCAAAATTCACACAGCTACACAACAGCAGAACAAAAATGAAAACACAGCTCGCTCTCTTTCCCAGAACTACAGGTCAATTCACATAAATTTTGAAGTAGGACCAGTTCCTAGTTACCTGGAAAATCCAGTATACTGGCATATTCAGCAAACCTATAGAGAAACTGGCCCCTGGCTGTTCTCTGCTTGGCTACTCTTGCATCAAGATACAACGTACTCATATATCTGAACAGACTGGTATGTTGTGAGAAAGGGAATATGGGCAAAAGCAGAATAGTGGAGAAAAAACACTCACCAAAACATTTCTCAATATTGGGCCTGAGTTTAAAATCAGCGCAGCAAGGAAGAGGGAGTCCTACACAGTTGGGACAAACAAACCTTGTTTTTTACTCTAATTCAGCAGGCTAGAATTACAAGTACTGCCTATACAAAAGCTTCTGTAAAAATAGGGACATGTCATTCAGAGACTTAGCAGAACAAAATTGTATTCTAGCCCTCAAAATGGCCCTGGGAAATTGGTTTTAATGACTCAGTTAATTTCATAGCTTCCACCCATCATTTTGAGCCCTCTTCTGTTCTTTCAAAGAGGAATCGTGCATCCCTACAGGTGCAGGGTGTACCTGAGCAATGGATCAGAGCCTGCAACAAAACCTCAGTGGCTGCTACTATATTCTTACAACTGACATATGCAGCCATGCTCTCTACTAGGACCCCTGCTTAAGAGACCACCTTCCCCAGATGCCTTTGTTTGAGAGGTGTTTCTGCTATTTAAATGAGCAATAGAAATGCTCGGCCTTGCATTACATTTGTCCAGCTGGTCAGCTTCTTCAGTGGCAGTAAGCACACGTCTACTTAAGCCTCTGTCCATATGGAATACAATCCTGTGTGCTGTATAATGGAACTAGGGAAGCACCGAGGTTTGCTTTTTCTTTTTTCTCCCTGGAAGTTCAGTGGTTGTTTTTCCACAGACTCTATGCAACAAGGTAATAAATATTTTGGGTTGTTGATACCTGACTCAAATTCAGGTTAGCACCTGAAGGTAGAAGTGCATTCCTTTAAAACCTGCCCTAAAAAACACTCCCAACAGTTATTGCTGTCCCAAAATGTGGCACGTGCCTTTATAACACTCAACTCTCAATAAGATCGCTAGCTACTAATATTGCATGTCTTTGGAATTCTTCATCTACTAGTAGCACTTTTTTTTAATTAGCAGTAAAATATTTTGGTCTTTCTTCTTTTGGAGGCAGGTCTAATTTTCACACTCTTACTTTTTTATTTGCTTGTCAAGGGTTCTTTTCTAATGTTGAACAGTACCTTAGCCTCCCAAAAGTGAAAAAGTTTGTAGCTCATAACCTGTAAGTGGACAAGCAGATGATCCTAGGGAAGACTGCACCCATGCAAAGTGTGTGTTCCTTCTAGGCCACACTAGGTAAACTTTTCCACCCCTTTTGCCAAGTTATCCAGGTATTATTGAGAAGAACTATAGCTGTGGAGCACCAAATGGCTCCAGATCTGGGGACACAAAAGTTGTTTTGGAAGGGTAATTTTTTGGAGGGATTTGTTTGGGGAGTTCTGGCAATTACACATTAACCTGAAAGGCAATATTTCTTTTGCAAATCTAGCTTTTGGCAGTACTGGAAGCATTTCTGGAAACAAGAATGCGGCCGGGAGTGATATCCACTATTCTAGTGAGTGTTCCTACTTTATTGTCCAGCTTTTGAGTTTTCAGTCAATCAGTTTGGCTTTTGATGAGTGATTGAAGTAGCAGAGAAATGAAACTGGTGGTTTTATTTCTAGCCTTGCCAGACGTAGACCCTATTACAAACCCAACTTAACTGCCTGTTATAAAACTCCTCTCAAAGAGAAACAGAGCTTAACAAGTTGACACCACTCTCACTGCAGAGCAGCAAAATTATTCCCAAGGACTGATTCAAAATGATAAAACTGAAAAAAAAAATGTGAACAGAGTCATCCCCTGTGAGAGAAGACACAAGGAAACATACGAAAATGTTGTTCATATACCGTTATGAGTACAGATAATATGAATATATTGTTATGAATTTATTATATGCATATATTGTTCATATTGTCATGGGAGAGGAGGACTAGGAGGGAGTCTTCTGCAGACTCTTCAAGCACTTGATATTTGCATGATGCATGTAACTTAATCTTTTATTTTAATATGCATCTCTAGGGCAAGAGCATTACTGCAGATCTGCTATTTCCTACCCAAAGTACTGGATTAGCAAAATATGTTTGATGTTTTTCCACTGTAAATTTCTCTCCGGGTTCGCCCTCTAGTTCTATAGATGCATACACACATCTATATGAATATTAAATATTAATTGCATCAAGAACCATCAAAGACGCTATTTCTAAATATCGGGCAGGCATGACAGCTGATGCCTTGGAAGGCTGTGGGAATGGAGCCGCAGCCTTCCGTGACACAGGGCTTAGGCCAGCAGGCGAGAGAGTGCCTGCTAAATTTGAATGTGGCCAATGGCTGCCAGAAAAAAGATAAATGGGGAGAAGCTGGGCTTATATATTTCCCAGGAAAGCTTCTCTTCGTTACATAATTCTTTCCTTTTTGCTTCTTGGCTGGGAAACACCTGTCAGGAAATGGCAGATGGTGGCAAATAATAAAAGGAAAGAAATGTCCTCATTTAAAAAGGAGATCTTGCGTTTTCTATCCCTGGTTGTAAGTGCTGTGGGGAATGTTACTGAATTATGTAACTCCTTGGTGTCTTTCTGGGTGTACAACGTTAAAAGAGAAATAATCGCTTCAGTTGCTGAATTTCAGATGAGTCTTGTTTTCAAAAAAAGAGGAAAAAATAATTGCATCTATCAAAAATGTATTCCTGAAACACGACTGTTTCGCAAAACCTTTGGGCGCCATCAACACTGGGGATGAATGATGAATATCTTGATCAAGATTATGGTGGTCCCAATAGGGCAGGTGCTAAAACCTCACTCTCTTACAGAAAAATAGGTGAAACCAGCTCCACAGTGCAGCACGAGTGTCAGGGAAGGACTAAGGATGGGGGAAGGAGAGTGCCTAAATCTTCCCTCCACAAAGGCTGCGAGCCTGAGGCTCAGTGGGTGCGGGAGGAATAACAGGAGCAGCAGGTGATGTTTGGTGAAGCGGAGCTGGAGGTGCCTCTTGCCTTTGTGCATGTGAGTGCCTGTACAATGCAAGCAAGGGGCAGCAGGCAAAATTATGTTCTCCCTCTTTTGCAGGCGTTATCTTGCCAGTTGTCATTACCTTGATAGTCATTACCCTCTCTGTCTTCTCGCTGGTGGCTTTGTACAGAATGTGCCAGAAGAAAACGCCAGGTATTTGGTTTGCTTTCTCTGGGGGGGAGGGAAGATCAATGTGCTTTTTATTATTTAAAGATCTCTGGGGTCTTTTTAGATTACCTTAACCATAGATGTTGCAGTAGTCTGATAGGAAAGTTTCTTGTATTTCAAAGTATTTTGCCTAAAGTAGGAAACTTACACTTCATTTTCAGAATCAGTAAGAAGAAAAATGTCTCTGATTTTTGGAGAATATATAATGTCGTAAAGCTTTTTGTTCACGCTTTTGCAGTTACAAAGAGCTAACAAACAGCTGTGCTAACACACAATCAGTCAATCACATAGAAAAAGACAGTGAAAACTAAGTTTGGAGATATTGTTTAACAAAATCACTATATTTATTTTATCTCTGTTCTAGATACAGGCAAAGAAATATCAATGCTTTCTTTTAGGAAATACCTGATATATACATACATACACACATATGCATTTATATATAAGTAAAATTTTCCAGTTACAGTATAACGTACATGGGAACAAAATCCCTGAGCAAACAGTATTTTCGGAAACAGTCATTTTGACAGAGCAGCTAACGCCAGTATCTGTTTCACTGCTATCCATGAAATACTTAAGATAACGGGGTATAATTCCATTAAATTCCATTTGCCTTATGTTTCAAAGAGTTGCCCGAGTGGGCCACAGACAACTGTATTCCCCATTAAGTGAAAACCCAGATCTGGATCCAGACTGTGGTTTTTCTCTCCCTGTGAGCTGGCATGAGTTAGGAGACCTGTGCAGAGCTTCAACTGTGAAATCACTGGGCCTTGGAAATATAAAATCCAAATAGGGTGTTGAAGCTGTAGACCAAGGCAAACAGTGTGTCGCAACCAATTTAGCCAATGACATGGAAAACCAGACCCAGATAAACAGAGGAAGGTGTGATCCTTGCTTAGGAAATTACGGAATATTCGGAGTCAAGAGATAAAGATATGAGGTGAAGAACATTTCCTCGCCAGCCTCCCCCATGCACAAATGCCAGCAGGCACGGTACTAGCAAATTCACTGGCAAGCTAGAGTAGGTATCTTGGAAGCTAGAGTAGACAGATATTTGTCCAGGCCTACCCAGTGTGCTTCCCCTGTGGACAGAGAGCCCAGTGCCATGGGACTAGAAGTGGCTCCGTATCTCTGATATAACCCCCTGGCCCCATCCATCTGCCCACAGTTGCACATAAGCATAAAATACTTTCAGTACATGATTCGTTTTGAGGAGAAACCTGTTCCTCATCAACAGGGATGTGACAGGCTTTGTTCTCAGATGTGCCAGGTTAAACCCCCCAAAGCATACAGCCTGGCAGCTTGTTCTGTCACTCCCCTGGTACAAGACACTCACACTCTGTCTTTTAGCTCAGTTGTTATGTACTTGAGAACTGTAGCATGCTTGCCTCCTCTGTGCCAGCTACCGGGGGATTTGGGAGCTGCAGGGAAAAACGTGCTTCTGTCATGCTCTTGCACAAGTCGCATATCATTCTCCCTAGTTTCCAAAAGTATTGATCCAAGCAGTATCAGTTCACTTTCATGGATAACATGGTTATGTTTTTGGAAGACAAACTAGAAAAAGTGACAATTAGCCTTCAAACTGGTTGATTGTGTTAATATACTTAATGCAATACTGCAAAATCACAACAAAGCCTTCTGCTAGCAACTGCGATAGCTATGTCTAAATGTTTACTTAAGTGAGTTCCAGCAGTCAAAATGTATTAACTTTTGTTCCTTCTTCTAGAGAGACAAGAGAACGGCACTGAACAGTAGGTTGAATCCTGTCTTTTCATTGCTTTGAGATCTATCATGGGGCACTTGTGAACGCAGCAGATTCTGCATGAGATTTTCTTTGATCTTTCTCTATTTAAACATAATAAGCAGTTGCCTCCCCAAAGAGAAATATCCTGTTGAAAGTGATGCGCTTGCAGTTATTGTACACCTGTATGCATGATAAGCAGCTGTTCCAGCATAGACAGAAATGTGATGGCGATGGCTCTCCACTGTTTTGCAAGGGATCCTTTTGAAATGGATAAGTGGCTTATGCTGTGCCACAGGGCCCATTGGCCCAGTCTTTCTTCTCTTTTTTTATCAATTTTTGCCCCATTGATATTCCCACACCCCCCATCCTTTCCCATCCCCCTTCTTTTGTTCATGTTTTCTCTCTTTTTAATGTTTTTTATTCTGGATTATTTTTATCCTTCCTTTTCTCATGTCTCCTATTATTTCATGTTCCTCTGTCCCATATTCTCTCCACTAGCCCATTTTCAGAGGCTCAGTTAAAACAGTATTGGCATAATGAGTTTGAGGAGAGTAAAACTGAGAAAGATCCACCAGAAGTTATATACTAGTATACTAGAGGCCATTGAGTCTGGCTGTGGCCTCTATGTTTTGTATGACCAAAAGCAACATCTGGGCTGCTGATTTACTTGCTAGCCCTGACTCCCTGGACATCTGAAGTGGTCCTTTTTGCAATTCAAAATGGCTAAAAGCCTTGTATTGGCAGAGAAAAAAGATGATTCCCTCTTTTCCCTGAGATGTACTTTTTCTGTGGAGCACTAGATTGAACCTGGAGTTATGCAACTTGATTTATTACATATTTTAAGAGAAAGGTGTTTTCAGAGATATTGCTATATGGTGTTTTCCACCACCAAGACTTATATGTGATCCTATACAAAGCCCATTTCAAGCCTGCCAGTGTAGACTGGCATAGGCACTGCCTCCTCCAGATCATGATCTTAGAGTTTTGTTTGGCTGACCAACATGAATGCTGACTGTCTACTTAAGTGTTTTCTGACTTCAACAGGGTCCAGTCAGATAAAGAAGGAGTCAAACTTCTTTCTGTGAAGACAACTTCTCCTGAGACTGGTGAGTGTTTGCTCTGTGTGTATGTCAGTCTCCCTTTGTGAGCCCAGAGAAGTGTCGTTTTGGGATGTCATCTCCAATAGCAAAACCATCTTCAGTTCTTGTCAGGTCAAAGTCACCACAAAAAATTCCTCTACAGCGGAAATCCCCGGATTGGGAGCCTGTAGAGCTGCATTGCAGCTGCACTCTGTGTGGTATCAGTATTTGTGAGAAGTATGACTGGTTTAGGGAAAATAATTTTTTAAAATCTTTGATGGCAAGTGATCTACTGGTAGGCATGTTCAGGAGTAACAGTGATCATGATATTTATCAGCTAGATCTGGCTATACAAGGAAGTTTGAAGACTGGTAATATCCCAGGGGCCAAAATGTTTGGGAGTGAGTGCCATATGTAAACAGGGCTCTGTTGGAGTTGGTGTTGGCAGTGTTCTGTCAGCCCTGTACCCAGTCACCCTTTACATTCAAAATCCTACTCTCATTGCAAATTCCTCTGTCCTGTGCTTCACTGATCCAGTTTCTTACAGAATATGTGGTAATAAAACATAAATGAGCAGAGGTTATAGGTAACATGCACAAAAGAAAGCAAAATCTCATCAGTATAACTAAAGAGATGGATGCAGTTATAGGTTCTGCAAGAAATAGAGTAGCACAAAATAAGACTGAGGCAGAAAAAAATAATCTGACTGATTCCCAGCTATTCAGCAGCCCCCCCCCGTCCTGGTTTCAGCTGGGATAGAGTTAACTGTCTTCCTAGTAGCTGGTACAGTGCTATGTTTTGAGTTCAGTATGTGAAGAATGTTGATAACACACTGATGTTTTCAGTTGTTGCTCAGTAGTGTTTAGACTATAGTCAAGGATTTTTCAGCTTCTCATGCCCAGCCAGGGCACAAGAAGTTGGCACGGGACACAACCAGGGCACCTGACCCAAACTGGCCAACGGTGTATTCCATACCATGTGACGTCACCTCTAATATAGTAACCGGGAAGTGGGGGCGGGGAATCGCCGCTCGGGGACTAGCTGGGTGTCGGTCGGCGGGTGGTGAGCAATTGCCCTGTGCATCATTTGTACATTCCAATCCCTTTATTACTACTGTTGTCATTTTATTAGTGTTATCATTATCATTATTAGTTTCTTCTTTTCTGTTCTATTAAACCGTTCTTATCTCAACCCACGAGTTTTACTTTTTTTTCCCGATTTTCTCCCCCATCCCACTGGATGGAGGGGGAGTGAGTGAGCGGCTGCGTGGTACTTAGTTGCTGGCTGGGGTTAAACTACGACACCCCCAATGAAACCTCCTATGGTAGAGCTACTCACGGTGAAACTTCCTCCCTTCACCCATTGCAGTTCGCTTCCTCAGCCGTGTACCTCCCACCTTTGCTCTTACCTCATCTGCAGAAGTCCTCCAGGAAAAACAGCCTCTTACTTTATGCTTTTTTAGGTATAAAAACCTTCTTTTTAAAGTTTTTGGCCATATGTTTCCCCTACTGACGTTTCAGAGGTTGCCTGATAGCTGCTCTCCCCTTTCCTCTAAATTCACAGGAAGTCCTCTGAAACACAGCACTTGATCTGAACTATCCTCTACTTGCTGGAGAGGCACAGTTTGTACTCTTCAGCCTTCTCTGCAGCTCCCAGAAGGTCTTGCACAATCCAAAAGACCCACAGGACAGCCCTTGCAACAAACTGTGCAAGGTCCCTTCAGCCTTGTTGACACGGAGCAGCATGCTAGGAGGCTAGAGGGGGAGGAGAAGGGCTTGCTCCATCGCAGGATGCATCCTTCTGCTCCGCTGCTGCTGAGCAAATGCAAACTAAGCAACTGTGCTCTGGCACTTAAGTGACTGCACTTCAGAGCTTTGTGATTTGGAAAACTTCATTTATTTGTTTATTTTAGTATATGTCTTTGGGAATGGACTTTTAGCTTTATTTTAAGGGGTATGGAGTTATGTGTGTGTTTTCATTTAAAATCAGAGTATTTTTTTTGAAAGCTGAATCAAGTCAGAAACTGAAATTCATAGACATTTTTGATTGATCCTGCCCTCATACCAGTTTCAACAATAAAGTAACTTTACTGGCAGCAGCAGGATTATTTGTGTTTTACAGCAGGGTAAATGAGAAAAGACCCTGGCTCACTGTTTGTTTTGTTTTTTGTTTGTTTTTTTTTTCACAAGATGAGGTCTGGTGCCTGTTAATCAGCTACTGGTTCACGAAGTATCTAAATATCTTTCATCCAGAGGATGGTTGATATTCTTTTTTACTGAATTATGATGTATGCATGCTATAATTGGAAGGTATGAGTCATAACCACTTAGAAGACAAGATTCTTGCCCTCATTAATACAATTCATATTTAAACTAGCTACCATTTCTCTTGAATTCTTACATCTTTATATGTTTCAAAATTAAACATGCTTTCACAGAAATGGAAGTCCTGTTTTTCCCCGGGTTTTTAGACACACTACTTCTTAAAAGCAATCTGAAAGAAGGGCCTGTTTTCTTACAGAAATATTTGTCACTCACACAGGTATTTTCAAATATGTTAGGATGCCTGCCCATTTGAATAAGACTTACTTGCTTCATTAAAAGCTCAGGTGTAAAGGCAACTGTTTCTTCCAGTACAGATAGAAACTTGAAAAATGTCTAACTCGTGGTCCCTCTTACAACTACTGAAAAAAATTGTACTGTGTAAAACTTCTTTACATGTGTCCTTCTTTTTCCTTTTTAGACACATAGAATCCAGCTCAATTAAAAGGTGAATTCGTTGTCTGGCCATTTAGAAAGTCTGTGTTGTAGCCGCCTCTGATTGTACATACCAACAAAACTACAAAAGATTTTGACTGAAACTAGGAAGTTCTTAAAAGCAGCCTTAACTTTACAGACAGACCTACATCATCCTCTTGCTATCGATAGGCTGCTCAGCTGCCTGAGGTCAAACATATATACAACAAAGTTCCGCTTTGACGTGTATTCAAATTAAGCATACAATTAAGTATACAGTATATTTTTTTAATTTTTACTTTTTATTCCAAACAGGAGATTTTGAGATTGTATAATTGTGTTTAAAATGCATAAAAAACATACATTCAGAACAAATAAGGATATGACCTACAAACTGCTCAAGTAGGCAACCTAGAAAAACCCTGTGTCAGTGTTGTGCATGATGTATCTTGATCAAAGGTTATGGTGAGTTTAATCTTGCCTTATTTTATCTATCTAAAAACTAAGCTGGCTGCACATTGCCAGCTGAAAGAGATGTATGTGTCCAGAGGGCTATTTATTCCATCTGCCTTGGACACGTATCTTGAATTGGAATGAGCTGACCTATGGAGGTCCATTGACTACTGAAGGATCCTATTTTAGGACTTCTAAAATTAGGCCCTGACTATAAATTGAAAGAAAAAAGAAAGAGTCCTTTTTCAGAAGCATAGCTGAATTAAATTTAATCAAGAATATTATTTCAAATACCTGCAATTAATGTGAAAGAATACAGGAAAAGAACAGTGTTCAATTAAGCCTGGACTAAAGTAATCATTTTTAATGGAGCAGTATCATCAGGAACACTAGGTAAAACTGAGCTTTATTATTCTCATTTTTAAAAAACTCTTCTGAGAAAGATGGAGTTGCCGATAGCTATGAGCCCTAAGGCACAACTGGCTGAGAATTGATGTAAAGTAAAAAAACAGACAGACAAAACTAAACACCTTGAATTTTTCATGCACATTTTTTGTGAACTGCAACACCTGATGCAAGATAAATGTCTGTACTTGCATCTTATGTGAAAACTGAGCTTGGATAAAAACGCTCAGGATACTGAGTCGTCTTGAAAGTTTTACACTAGTGTGCAAATGCAGGACTTACTGCAGCCATTCTGTGTTGACTATACAGGCAAATTTAGGGTGGCTCTTCCTAGGGAGAATAAATAGTCTTCTACAATGCAGAGCTCTAGAAGATCTACCTGCAAAAATATTTATTTGGGATTCAGTATAGCCCACAGAACTGTATGTTTGGCTTGTCAGTGGTAGATAAGTTTCCTGAGGATGTAGGATGGAGGGTTTTAGTTAGTGACTAAGAGATCAATACCATGATCCATAATGTTAATGATAAAGTATTGCCTATCTTGAAAACATACCTAACTTTTGCTGTAAGGGTTCTTGCTTATTTCACTGAAAACCAGCAAAGGTATTGATCACCTTTTAGGACTCATGAAAAATGTTGAGGGATGGGAATTCCTCAGTAACAAAAAGGTTGAGGAATAGAAATTGGGGTAAGGCTATTCCATACGGATGAATGATGTGTGATAGAAATATTGATAATTGAGTAATGACTTGACAATTTTCTTTTATGGCTCTTGCCTGGAGTACCCATTCTAGAGCAGGTAAAAATGTATGAAGGGCCTTTACAGAAGCAGCACACCAGTTCAATATTCAATATAAAGTCTCATAGGAATGTGGCAGGTGACATAATATTTCAGAGTTTTTAGGTACAATCCTGACACCTAAGAATAGGCTGATTCATTAGGGCATGTCTTCTAACCAATGTGTGCTCTTTTGAGATGATAAGGTAGGATATGACTTACTTAGCTTGTAGGGGTATTGTCTGTTCTGCCTTGAATTTGCTGGAAGGATATTAAATGTGTCAAAGCTGATGTGGCTCAGATTTTGGTGAGGCACCTGGAATGGAAGGTGGCTGGAGAAGGGTCCATGGTACGTGTCAGCATTAGGGCTTCCCAAGACATCCATTGTGGACACAAATGTAAATTCAAGCATTGCTACTAAATAAAGCTGGGAAAATATACCAGGCAAACATGGATATTCAGGGAGAGACCTGACCTGTCACATGTGAAATTCCTTAACTTAATTGTAATCACATTGGAGAAAGGGATCAGTCAATATCTAGAGGCACTTTCAGATGGCAGTGCAGTACAAAATAGTATGAACCAAGGATGTAGAACAACCAACATTCCCCATATGCTCCACATCTCTTCCAAAAGCTGCTGTTGGTTAACAGAGC